TTTTTTTTTTTTTTTTTTTTTTTTTTTTTTTTTATAGAAATGTTTGAATTCTTAATCAAATTATAAAACATAAACTTTAAAGAAACTCTTTTTTAGTTTCTAAAATTTGATTTGATATTTTAAAAAGAAAATGGAGGAAAAAAAAAAAAAAAACTAAAAAGAAGAAGTGTGGTTAATACTCTTAATTTTAAAACAAGGATTTCAACTTTTTTATCTTACGAAAATAAAGGAACAATCATGTATATATTGAGTACCAAATTAATAAATAAATACCATGGAAAATTTTAAATTAATTTAAAAAGGTTCGTGGAAATGGGAAATTTTGGAAATTAAAAAAAAATCATAAATTAATTTTCTTTTCGACAGATTATAAATTAAAATATGATACAAAAAGTTGTCCAGACAGGTTAGATAGGAAGTACAAAATTTCACTGAAATCAATAATTGGAGAAAAATTATGCGTTTGCCGGGAGTCGAACCCGGGTCTATTGCTTGGAAGGCAATTATCCTAACCGTTGGACTACAAACGCAAGATATTTGAAGAAAAAAGGTTTACCAAAAAAGAAAATAATAGCTGTAAAAATGAGATTAAAAAATTGCGTTTGCCGGGAGTCGAACCCGGGTCTATTGCTTGGAAGGCAATTATCCTAACCGTTGGACTACAAACGCAAGATATTTGAAGAAAAAAGGTTTACCGAAAAAGAAAACAATAGTTGTAAAAATGAGATTTTAGTTGCGTTTGCCGGGAGTCGAACCCGGGTCTATTGCTTGGAAGGCAATTATCCTAACCGTTGGACTACAAACGCAAGATGTTTGAAGAAAAAAGGTTTACGAAAAAAGAAAACAATAGCTGTAAAAATGAGATTAAAAAGTTGCGTTTGCCGGGAGTCGAACCCGGGTCTATTGCTTGGAAGGCAATTATCCTAACCGTTGGACTACAAACGCTTGTTGTGTGCAAGTTTGTCACTTTTAAAATACTATTAGAATTATTTTTTCAAATAAAATTTAAATTATTCTAGAATTTTTTCTAAAATAATAGAAGAAAAATTATAATATATATTCTTTCCAATAAGTAGAGAAAAATGGACAAAAATGAAAATAAAAAGCACACATTAATAAAAAACCGTTATTATCCCTTTAATTCTAGCATTTCTCTTTAATATTAAATTAATTCATACATGGACACAAATCTAATAAACATGTGAAAAGTAAATATTTAGGGCGCATAATCTAATTTTTATTAATTCTGTCTGAAGTCATTTAGTCTACGAGTTAAATAATTTATGTCTAAAATGTAGAGTCGTTTATACGCTAGCTCGACTAGCACAACAAGAGGTTTGCGAACTGTCTGGTGGGTCCATATTCGCATGTATAAGTTGTGTGTAGAGTAGTAAATACATATCCGATGACCCGAACTGAAAAGCCGCCATAGAGAATACAATTTTAAATGATAGGTCTCATTCATGTTACATGTGTTTGCATTCTTTAACCTTAATAATGAGATTAATTACGGACTATTTCTTAAAATACTCGTGCACTCTCTACTTTTATATTTCATGTAAAGACAAGACACTCCTGTACGGTTGACGACGACATTGCATCAAAGACCATGAAACCTGCATATGGTAGTTGCATTTATTTTTTGTAGACCGTAGGTTAGGATAGGTCATTGCTATTTTAATATTTTCCTTTGTTTTACTTTAAGACTCTTATTTAAATGTATAAATCCATGACATCGTTCTATGATACTTTTAAACGAATGTTTCTGCATAAAAATATTATATCATGTACATGGTAGCGGCTGCAAACCATAGTTCGGAGTTAGAATCATCCTAATATTTAGAATAAGTTGTTAAATACCTCATTCAAGTATTTAATCATCCTAATATTTATATTTAAATACCCCATTTTTATTTTTAAAGTTTAACCGAAATAGAAAGAAAATGAAAATCTGCTACAAACCATAGTTCGGAGTTAGAATTTCATCGGGTTCGTTCATAAGAAATGTTCAATGGCTTTAGGAGAATTATTATGGGCTTTTGATTTATTCCCATCTATCACGGCCCAATTTTCAAGTCGAATTCTGAAAAACTTGTTAAACCATAAGGTAAAATACCGTAAATTTTTTTTGCGTTTAAAACAAAACATAAATACATTTTATATACAAATCCAAATGAATGTTTGAATACATTGAACCCGATAAATCAAATAAACTTAAAACATTTGAATAGTTGAACTACGAATTCGCTTCCACCCTTAACACGCTCCTTGTTATTTGAAAAACATGAGAGAAAGGGAATGAATACAAAAACTTAAAGTAGCTTACTTGTAGGCTCCTAATCGTGTCTTTGATATGTTAGGGTACCACACTCTTTCTTGACTTGTTCTTGACATGAGAACTTAAGCACTTAGGTTT